CAACCCGACCACAAAAATTGGGATACTCTTTACCATTCCTGACATTCGCTTACAACACTGCCGTTCAGCGAACGACTTGCTACTCACCGTTTTACCTCGTGTACGGACGCACCCCGACTACCTTTCTCGACGTCTCCTTCTTTAGCAGCCATGGCAATTCATGTCAGTCTTCTAGCGAAGAATACATTTCCCGCCTGGCCCAGTCTCGCCATCAGGCTCGCATCAATACTGAAGCGAGACAGCACGAGCGGAAGATCATCTATGACGAATCCCACCGCGTTGTGTCTTTCCAACCTGGTGACGAGGTGCTGCTTTTGACACCTATTCGCACTCCTGGTCTCTGTGACAAATTCCAACCACGCTTCATCGGGCCATACATTGTTTTAGAACAGACTTCGCCGGTTAATTATCGTGTGACACAACTCGTCGCCCCAACAGACCGCCGCTACCGCAGCACGGAGATTGTCCACGTTTGTCGCATGAAGCCTTTCACGCGACGTTCCCCGTCACTTTGACTTACGGCGGCCAGGATGTCCGCTTCCAAGTGGGGGAATTAGTGTGGGCATTTGTAACTTACATCGTCCTCATCCCTGCATAATCACAATCACCATCATCCGCTTGTCCCTTTGCCCTCATTGCCACTTTGGGTCATCATCATCGTCATCGTCTGTGTGCTGGCTCTGCCCGTTCGTTTTGCGAGGTCTTTCCTCAATTAAACGCTGTCGCAGCCAAGACTACAAAGGCTTCATAATATATATATATATATATATATATATATATATATATATATATATATATATATATATATATATATATATATATATATAGATAGATATATATATATGTCTGAACATTTAAGCAGGAAATTGCTAAGGAAGGATCTATGATAATACTCGGGGTAGTTCTCTACTGTTTGAGGCTAGGACGGGAGTACTGCGAACCAAGACATATCGGGCCAAATACGAAGGGGTAGACACAGTATGCAGTGCTTGTGGAGAGGAAGAAGAAACTGCCGAACACTTGATAATGTTCTGTAAAGGGCTTCACCCTATAGTTCAGGATGATGGCGCAGGGTTTTTCAAAGCACTGGGGTTTAGGGACCGGGAGGGCAAAATAGACTTTAAGCAAGTAGACTTAACTAGAAGAAGGTTATCTGATTGGTGGCTAAAGTCAAGGCACGAGTGAAAATTAAACTCTTCACTGCAAAGTACGAATCCTCAAACTCAATTTTCAAGGAAAAAAATATAGTTTTAGGTTCATTAGGTATTACGGCTTGGTGGCGCCAGCCACCGCCCGATCTAAAGGGTACAGCCATATCCATCCATCCATCCATCCGGCGAATGCGGTGGCGTGGGGCGCATCCAGTGCGAACAACGCTGCGTTTCGGCGGCAGGAGAATTTCGGTCGCTGTAAAAAGCGGATGCTTCAGTGTGAACTAGGCATTATAGCGACACCCGTTGGTCCCTCGTAGCCGTTGTAGTGTGTGACAAGAATGACATTTTGACCTCCTAGGTGGTGCCGGTGAGAGATTTTTTCTGTGCGTTGTTAAACAATAAAAAATAGTGCTCAATGTACATGCCAAAGCCTGCTAATGGGGATAAAGAGACAGGAGCATTCGGCTTTTAGTTAACGTGCACGCTGCGATCCCCATTAGCAGCCATTGGCATGTAGATTGAGCCCTATCTGACAAGAAAGGTTTGCTACGTTATGCTCGCTGAGTGTAACCTCCTTAGGTTTAGAAAGGTTTAGCGAGCGTTTTGCCGCAGTGCCATGAATACAATGAACTAGTACATACCATGAACTCGAGGTGGTTAAAGGTGGGAAGTAGATACGAAGCGCAAGCCATAAGAAAGTAAAAGCGGAATGCTCCTGTCTTTCATTTCCTATTAGCAGCCATTGGCATGTACATTGAGCACTATCTGACAGGAAAAGGTTGCTGCGTTATACTCACTCGGCGTAACCTCCTTGGTTTTAGAAAGGTTTAGCGAGTGTTGGGCCGCAGTGCCATGAATACAGTAAACTAGTATATACCATGAACTCGAGGTGGTTAAAGGTGGGAAGTAGACCCGAAGCGCAAGCCGTAAGAAAGTGTGCGTGTGCCACCTCTCGTTTAGTCCTTGGAATGTCCGCTGGATGATGGTGCTTCTATATGGGGAATATATCACGGGGAATAAAGTATACACGATGAATATACTGGCGAGCAAATGCGTACAACGCTGCTGCAGTCCGAGCAAGTTCCCCTCAGCACTTCGTCGTCGTCATCCTCAGGCATCCACTTAGCCCGTGACATTACCCGCCGGCGACAGAAGCACCGTCCCAGTGCGATCAATTCTCGGGGCGTGAGTAGTGTTTTTTAAGCAGTGAGACGTGCACTATATCGGTCGGGTCTGAAGCTGGTATTGACGTGGTATGGAGTGGAGCTATCTCATAGGTCACGCTGGCGACCTTGCGTATGACGCGGTAGGGGCCAACGTAATGGGACATCAGTGTTTCGCAGAGACCAACACGACGTGATGGTAACCACAGCAAGACGAGCGACCCCGGGGAGTACTGTACGTCGCGGTGCCGGCGATCGTAAGCACTCTTTTGGTGAAGCTGCGAGGCACATAAACAATTCCGGGTGACTTGGCAGGCAATGTCAGCTCGGGCCAGGGCATCACCAGCATAAGCAGTCCATGACGGGGGTGTCAGTATGGAGCATGGTGTCCATGGGCAAAGGCGGGTCATAACCAAACAGTAGGTAAAAAGGCGAAAATCTAGCTGTGTCATGACGTGAACTGTTGTATGCGAAGGTAACGACAGGTGAGTGGATGTTCCAATCTTTGTTATCTTTGAAGACGTACATCGCTAGCATATTCGTCAGGGTATGGTTCAGGCGTTCCGTGAGGCCGTTGGTTTGTGGGTGGTACGCTGTAGTGAACTTGTGGTGGGTAGAGCAGGATCGCAGGAGCTCGTCGACTAATTTAGATAGAAAACAGCGGCCGCCGTCGGTGATCAACTGACGAGGAGCACCATGACGCAAAATGATGTAATGAAGAAGAAAATCGGCTACATCAGTAGTGCAGCTGGTGGGGAGGGCGCGTGTAACGGTATAACGCGTTGCGTAGTCGGTAGCAATAGCAATCCACTTATTACCGGTGGCCGACACGGGAAAAAGTCCTAGAACATGCAGTATATATATATATATATATATATATATATAAATATATATATATATATATATATATATATATGTCTGTATATGCATCCGCATATATATATGTGTATATTTATGTGTATGTGTGTACACGCAATTTCTATGCATGGCATTGTTGTCATATATATAGTATTTTGTATTCTGTCATATTTTTGCATTGTACTTCGGAGTTTGTGCCGAAAGAAACTACTTACGCATATTAGTCTCTGTACATAGCATTACTGTACGTGCATCTTCCGACTTGTACTGCGCTAAACATCTCATGGCCTATAAACATTGCTTATATGTTCATGGTCTATGTTTCTTTACCCATGTCCATGTTGCTTACCATGTATTAGGAAGGCTCGGGTTCTCCTCAAGTGACAAAACGTCCCTTTTCTCCCGAGCCTGCCCTCGTCTTAGGGATGAAATAAAATTGAATTGAATTGAATTGAAGATCGAGGCCGACTCGGAAAAATGGCTCATCTGGTACTTCAATGGGCTGGAAGGTACCAGCAGGTCCCAGAGCAGGTGTCTTGCGGCGCTGGCAGAGGTCGCATGCTGCAACGTACTGTCGCTCAGAACGGTGGAGGCCAGGTCAAAAGAATCGGCGGCTAACGCGCGCATACGTGCGTGACACCCTTAGGTGTCCAGCGGAGGGGGCATCATGGAGCTGGGCCAAAACGTCTGAGCGAAGATGCGCAGGAACAACGAGTAAAAGCTCAGCGTCATCTGGTGCAAGATGTCGTTGTGAAGAACGAACAGTTGTAAGGAGTAGTCAGCGTGGGGGGGGGGGTGCAGACCATTGATAATAGCACGCAAAGAGGGGTCACGGCGTTGTTCAGCAGCTATGTCGGTGAAGTCGGTAATTGAAAGAACGAAGGCCTCCTGTCCATCTTCCATCATGTCAGGGGGATCGACTGGGTAACAGGACAAGCAGTCGGCATCCTTGTGAAGTTGTCCGGATTTATAGGATACGGGAAAAGTGTACTCTTGTAAGCGCAGCGCCCAGCGACCAAGGCGTCCCGTAGGGTCCTTGAGTGAGGAGAGCCAGCAAAGCGCATGGTGGTCCGTAATAACTGAGAATGGTCAGCCA